GATGTCAATGAATGTTCTGGATTCATACATCCCTACAGGAGACATGGCTTATTTGTAACCATTGCTCTTCCTTCCAAATTAAGGGTAACCACCTTCAGAATCTAAGCAGAAACCCAAAGATACATAGTGTCTAAGGTGCCTTTTCCCAGCACCTGACAAAGAGCTGTTAGCTTCTGTGTGAAGAGTGAATATCCCCCGAACACACACAGAGAAAGGTGTAACTATAACCTGAGGGTCAGCACTTGGAGCTGCTGGACAGCTCCATGAGCCTATCAGTCTCTTTGGTACCTAATGGGCATGCTTTTAACACTGACTATAAAAACACAGATTCCTCATTGTGTGCTGGTGGCATTTGAAGGAAGCTTCTCTAGCCCTTTGTGGATTGTTCTCTGGTTAAGCTCATCTCCCAGCAATCCTTGGTCAGGTGCTTGGTCACTTATCTCACCCACTGGAGTATCCATTTAGATCAGGATCTCAGGGAACCTTCTCTAGACTGAACAGTGGACTGGCCACACTGGCATTTCAAATTATATCTTTCTCTTCCAGCCACATCAGTCAGCTTCTTGCAAAGGGCATCCATTTAGGATACACCATGATTCTGCCAGGCTTACCCATGCAGGTGCATTTAAAGTCATCACATTCAATGGTTGTTCTTTCTTCACATGCCATAGAACAAATTTCTCTCCTGTTGAGTTTACACAGTAAAGTGAATTACTAAGAAATGTTGATAGGGATGGGTTCTCAATGTTATCGTTTTTTCTCCTTTGGCTGAACCACAGCAGGTGGTAAACAATCTGGCCTGGCTACTGTCATGTATAGGGAAAAGAATATCTCCCTACCTGTGAACATTAACGTTAAATCTGAGAGCAGGCTTTGGGGCTGACTGAGAGTGGAGGGTGACTGAGGGCCAAGGAGATTCACCTCAGAAGCCCTATGTTGGCAGTTGCTCCTATTCAAAACCTTTCTTTTCAATCTATCCTCCCAACACCCCCAGGTTAAGAGCAAAGGAAAACAAGACAGTAAGAAGGAAGAAGGACTAGTCAAAGTCATGGAGTAGGTCGGAAAACTTCAAGTTCATTGAAGCTTTACAGCAAAGGATTATTTTAGGGCTCATCTACCCACTCACATTACAGCACAAAGAACTGAATCTCTGGGGGATAAATGACCTATTCAAGGTCACAGCAAGCTATAGCAGAAATTCCCAGGTCCTCCTATTAATTTCCCAAGCTGCATTTTAGCACTCACTTTCTTCTTAAATTTTCTTTTATAATCTTCAGGGCATGCTTGCTCAAGTTATTTCTCATAATAGTGTCCTTGATTTTCCCCAAGTCTATAGAGATATCTTTCTTCCATGATGTCACAGACTGTATCCTCTATACCACTGATGAGCACCATTAAGCAGAATGCCCTTGACATCCCACGAGGTCTAGAACATGAGGCTGGAAAGGTCACTGAAGGTCACTTAATTCATGTCTCATCTTCAGGTCCTCATACATAGTTCATTAATGTAGTACAGGCTCATACTTGACTGCCCCTCAGTCATTGTCTACTCCCCGGCAGCCCCTTGTTGAAGCATGGACTGTCTCTCTACACAGCATCTTGTTCTCTATAACCAGTATGTTCAGTTCAGAATGCCAGTTTGACACTTTCCAAGAATATATGCATCTAGTAGATTAGGATTCCAGTTCCAGGCCTGCAATTTACTTACAGTGTGACTCTGTACTGGTACCTCTAAGAATGTGTCCTCATCTGTCAAATGGGAATAGCACTAGTGCACACTCCATATATTTTATGTGAATTAATAATACAAAGCAAGAGTAAAACTCTCAGCACGACATTAAAGATTCAATAACTACTTGCTATTCCTTGATCACTTTTAGGGAAATTCACTTTGTCAATGTCATTGACTTATAATCAGATTCTAAATAAGAGGCCCAGGCACAGAAGGTTGAAGAATCGTTCATATTCTATCTATTAAAAGCAGTTTGGACTTAATGGGAGAGCAGAGATACAAAAAAAAAAAAAAAAGAACATTTTAACATTTTTAGCCCAAACATTACCAATAAGACCAGTAACTTTAAGAGTCAGAATGCAATTAGACAGAACCAGGTAGAAAGATGGCTTCATAAACAAGGATGGTGGATGGTGTGTGCAAAATTATCTTGAGCGTCCTAAACTATGTCTTTGTGGTTCTGTATCCTTTACTGTCCTGAGATGTTTTACAACCAGCAACTCTGAGCCCAGGACCCAAGGCATGGTGGGACGGCTTTGCCAGACACTATCACCCCCTAGTGGTGACTCCACACTCACAACTTTGAGCCTTAATTTTGTACATCCAGCTGTGACCTCAGCCATCTCTAAATTCCCCAAAAGGTGAAAGTCGAGTCAAAGTCTTGCCTAACTCGGCAGAAGCAAATGCTGGGCAGGACGAATAAACGTCTGGAGAGGCGATGGGGCTGCCTTACAACCTTGGGAAAGAAATGGCCATAAATAACTCAGGCTACCAGCCCCCTGCTCATACTACCATAAACCTCAGTGCCAGCCAGCTTGGCCCTCCAAGAGCTCATTGTGCACTCCGTGTTTACATGCAAACAGTTGAAGACCAACACAAATAAAAAGCCCACGTCTCCCTACACAGCTCCTGCTATACCCTACCATCTGGTGAGTGCCTCGCTAGCCAAATCCCTGTCGGAGTGCCTGAGCTGCCAATGTAGGACTCTGCAGGGAGGCGGAGGTGGAAACCCAATTCCCTGCGTGGGCCCAAAGGGCTCTGGCAGCCAAGGAGAGCATCCGGTTATTTCAAGGGGCAGACAGTCCCCAGCCACCAAGCTCCTGTGCCCTGGATCCTCTCGAGGCTCTGAAAAGATAGCGCCAGGGACTCTCAAGCCCATCCTGAGGGGCTCAAGACCTTTAGGCTATGCTTGACTCTGGTTCCCAGGCACTGGTCCTCCTAAATGTCAAAGTTGCAAAGGGCGCATATGCTAACTCCAGGAAGTATGGAGCATGTCTACAGCTGGCTGGGCCTGGTCCCCACATCTTGAAGAAGCTGGAATTCTCTGGGGTTCTTGCTGCCAAATCAGGCACTACTCAGAACCGACTCCCTTCCCCCTACAGTACAGTAGACACGTAGGAGGATGTCCACTCCTGAGATCTCAAGATATCCGGGAGTGGAGAGATGTCGGGTGGGGGGGGTAGCATTGATAGTCAGTAGTGCGGAAGGGGAGGAATAGCTTCTGTATTTGAGGAAAGACTCCTCCCCCCAACACCACACACACACACACACACACACACACACACACACACACACACGCCAAGCAGCCTGAGCTAGGGTTGAGCCTGAGTGGGGCTCAGTATCCTAAAGAATTGCACCTAACCCTCATCACCCTTTCTCTTGGACATGCTGTAGATGCATTTGGAAAAGGCTACTGTGAGTGTGTGTGTGTGTGTGTGTGTGTGTGTGTGTGTGTGTAGTGTGTATGTGTGTGTGCATATGTGTGTGTGTGGTTGTGATGAGAGAGAGAGAGAGAGAGAGAGAGAGAGAGAGAGAGAGAGAGATGCACTGCCAAGGAAGTCCGGTGTTGTCCCCACCCCACCCCCACACAACCTGCCAGGAGTCTCCTGCCTTGCCACCCAGAAAGCTCAGAATCCGGTTAGAGCCAGTCAGAAGAACCCGGGGCCCCAAAACCTGGAGGACAGCCAGGTGGTCGCTCAAAACCCCCAAAGGCTGCCAAAATGAAAGAGAAGGACAGAGGCTGTCACAAAATACACTTGAAAACATCAGGACTCCCCCGGAGAGTGGAGAGTGAAGTCTAGTCCTTGACTCTAGATTTTCTCTGGCGAACCAAGAGTTAACCCTGGAGGTTCAGGCCTGACCACGAAGGCTGCCCCTACTCCTGTGACATCAGAACTCATTCCGGACCCCAGGAAAACAAGGACCCTAGGCAGAAGAGTCTCAGCTGGAGCCCCAGGCGCCTCCCCGGCGCCTTGTTGGACAGACTCAGACAGCCAATCGGGGCCCCGCGCCCCCAAGAGGGGAGGGAGAGCGCACGAGCAGCGAGCGCGGGAGAGCTAGGGGGAACAACATTTTTGTAAACGCTCTCCGAGATAATTAAGCTATCAATTATCCGGGTGGGAAATCAGCCGAGCTTCCCACAGCTCCACTGAAGGGCCAGCTCCTCGGGGATCCTCGCAGGGAATCAGCAGGCGGCAATGCTGGCGAACTTTCTGATTAACTTTTCTGTTTGAGCCCCCTGTCCCCACCCGTCCCTCTCTTGTCTTTTTCTCTTGCGTTTAAGTTATTATTATTAACCCCGTGAGTGAGCAGTGGGGACAAACTTGCTTTCGGCTGGGAGGAGTGGCGAAGGGAGATAATGCGGGTGGAAGGGCAATCTAAAAGTGGAGCCGTTGGGCTCAGAATCCCAGTTCTCAAGCATCACTCAATCGATTCCAGCCCCAAGTCATAGCAGGCCAAACTGAATCTCAGAAGGAAAGCAACACAGCCAAGGTCACCCGGCCCATGCGGAAGCAGGGCATCAAGGATCTGGGTTCTGGAAGGGCAGAAACCCACAACTCAAACGCAATAGAGAGGGGGCGGTAACCGTGGGCGGACAAGTGGAGGTGTCCAGAGCCGAGCGCGGCTTAACAGTGAACTGGCTTCAGGACAGGGGTCTTCTTTCCCCAGCCCCTATTCCGAGCACACGTAGCGACTAGGGGTCTCAGGAGTCTGGGGTGCTTGGACCGGAGCTCAGGAATTGGAAGGAGGACCAGTCCCCACTGCTGGAACGTTGGCACGCCCCCGGCTCCCAGGAGCGCGCTCCAGGACCTCCTGCCCTACACTCCTTTCCAACCACCTGTGCGCCCTGCTGGCCCCTTGGCTGCCCTTTGCCAACCCGGTTCGGGGCATCCTGGGGTAGGGATCCGCAGGGCGCCCCCACCCGTCCGGCCTCACTTAGGGGTTCGCGGTTCCGTGGGACTGTGCGTGTGCGGGCGCCTAGCCTTACCCAGGGTGAAGAAGGGGAGCTCGGTGTTGTCCAGGTCATCCTGCACCGCGATGCGCCCGGGTAGCTCATTACGCACAAAGAGCAGGAGGCGCGACTCGGCGGCGGTACCGGCTGAGCCCGCGGAGCCCGGGGACGCGGCGGCGGCGGCCGCGGC